CACACACTGAAATGATAGTAAATAAAGATAGCCTGAAAAGAATAAATCAAAGGCGGATGCAGAATGGCATTCAACAACGATGCTAAGCCAAGAAATTCACGTTTTTAGTTGGGTGGAACTTATACAACAGTGCGTTTTAGTAGACTATGCACTTGAGTCTTGCGTTGTTAGAGCGAGCTCGTGCCGTCACTTTGAAGCTTGGAATGAGCATGCAGCCGCTAGGCCCTTGATCCGCAGCCTGCAATCAACTGAAACTCTTCAATGTCTCCAAGTGTTTCATAGGGTCACAATCTTCGACGCATAGCATAAAAACAAGTGATGATACTGAACCTAACAATGTAAACCTTACTCTAGTGTGCATGCTTTTTTCGCGCACTTTAAGATACTTTCGTGGCTTATAGATATTGAGAGGATGTATAAAGGGCCCTACAATTTCAACAGGCTGCAATTCAAACTGAAAGGAATGAGAGCATTTGGAAGTGGCACAAAACGCAGTGCGCTGCGATTTACCAATAACCAAAAGGCACGGAAAAGCTGTCAAGGACTGAGTCACCAGGCAGCAAGCATCCTACCCTCACAAATACAAACAGAGTGGCACCACTGTCTTAGTTTCACAATGTGACGGCAACACACATGCCGCATATAGATTCAAGGTTACTGACAGCACTGCAGCCGCTAGTGCTTGCACTGCCGTTTTAACTGCTCTTGCTTTTCTGTGGCAAGTCCTTGTGCTACACAAGGGAAAATACTATAAGCTACGAGCTCCTGGCAAGTTATAAAACCAAAGGTGTGGTCAACCTGGCTTCTTCCCCCTTCTTAAAAATTAATGCCTAAGCCCTTAAAAAAAAAAAAAAAAACTAGATTGAGGGACAACAGGAATGTGCCAGTCATTTCTTATTGTGTCACTTAGTCTCACTTTTCTTTTTCTGTCTGTTAAGAGAAGCATTTGCCAGCTTGCTTGTTTTTCAATTCTAATATCAGGTGATAGACAACTAACATTAGCTTTAAGACAACGAAGGAACCACCTTTTTTGGGTTGATCAGTGAACACAAGAGTGTACACATAGCTTTGAAACGTTCTACATATGCATGGTTAGCCTACACTGCACTGTGTATTCACCGTCATTTGTAAAACAGGTAACCAATAGTCTGATCACGTTCCGAAACACTGAATCTGGGGTTGTGTCAAATCGGTGAAATATGTTTTTGTAGCATTAACATCTCGTTACGTCGACACACTGATAAATGGAAGGCTTTATACAAAAACAGTCAATTTTCTACAGTAATCACCACTGATAATTTCACGAAAACGTGCACATGCATCATATTATATTGTCAAAAGGTTTGCATAGTGTGAAATTTAATTCCATCCCGAATACAAAATCAAGCTCCTAGAAATAAAAATTAGTTTGATATATTTTTTTATACGCCTCAAGGACTCGATGGACATTACAAAATGCTCGAGTCACCAGGAACCATTTCGTTTTTTAGGGCAAGTAGTATGTATCACTGATCAAACTAAGCCTGAAAAGGCAGCTCAAATACCTTGGTAAGGTATCATGGTCCAGCGACATCAAAAAATGAAAAACTAGCAAAATTAAATATACAAGGGACGCAAAAAAGAAAAGGAGCATAAACGGTAAGTTGTGATGGCCTGGAGCTCAGCCGGTTGGTTTGACATGCTTTTCCTCTATGTTCAGCTGGTATTCAAGTATGCATAAACGATTATCAAAATCTAACCCCCAAAACAAGAAAAAAACAAAAACGAACAAAACTAAGTCTATGTGTCTTTTTTTTTTTTCCGGGTTTTAAAAATGATTTCTCACTGCTCGCCTGTATACTTTTGCTTCCCGACAAGAACAAGCTTATTCGAAGTGCGGCAGCGGGTGTTAACTGGGACGTTAACGCACAACTGCTGGATGGTGACGAGGAGAATAAAGAAAGAAAAAAAAAAAAGAAAAAAAGATAGGTGGCCGAGTGGGCTAGCGCACACCAGTTTGGAGCACGTGAAGCGAAAGCTCGCGCTGTAGAACGCAGGGATCCTGGGTTCAATTCCCTGCCCGCTTCGATCTAGGCACCTAAACTGTCGAAACGATGTCATCAAATCCCGAAGAATGCCCGACGAAAAAAAGAGTATAAATTCGCAGCCAGCACAGCATCACCGAGGTCCCACCGTTCAAACACAAAACGTTAAACGCAATTTTTTTTTTTTTTTTGCTTTCTCCTTAGGATATTGTAGGCATCGTAACGCTAAAGAGCGAAATGCGACTGCAATTATGTTGCTGTATCTCACAGCCGTCTCCTCCTCCTTTAGGGCTATCTCCTCACGCCGAAGCCTATGATAAATGTAGCCAAGGCTGGAGACGTAGCCGTGATCAGCGTATACACACAGCACCGATGGCGCCCGAAGTGTCGCACTGTCCGAAGCGTGGTCCGGCGCCTCTCGCCAGGCGGTCCCAAGGCGACTTTGGGACGGCGGCGCCAGCCTCGGGCCATGACGCAACCCCTCGTCGAAGGAGACACGCGTCCAAGGACGACCGCCAGCGCTCGCCCAGGCGGCCCAACAGCTCCACCGTCGCCCGTGAAACGGCCCCGAAGGCCGTCGGGGCCAGCGCAGCCAGAGTTTCACTGATGGTTCTTTCCCAAACCCGCTCAATCGGAGTCGTGTTCCGCTAGCACGACACTAGCGGAGCCCCGACACCCGAAATTACCGCAATGCGAGCCAAGGCCCAGGAACGAAGCAGACCCTCTTTCCCGGTAAATCCGGAACGCTGACTTTCTTCCGCGGGTTGACGAAATCGGAGGCTTGAGACACCCGAAGCGGCGAGGGCGCGCTGAACCTTCCACGCGAAGGACATCCCGAGCGCGCCGCCAGAGCCAAGACCGACGTCAAGCACAGCGAGGTCAGACGCAGATTGACGTCGGTCCCGGGCGGCGCGAGGTCGCCCCGCGCCCGCACCCCCCCTTTCTTTCCGAAGACCGATGGAAAAGCTCAAAAGCCGCGCCGTGACCGCCGGAGCCTCGACGTCGGCGGACGCGCGCGTCGCCCAAGCCAGCGAAGGACGACGCAAGTGCTTCCCGACGCCCTTCCGCAACGCCAACCACCTTTTCCTTCCGCGACTGGATCCGCGCTTCCTCGACGCAGCCGCGTGCAAGCCACTAATCACGAGAGACGTCGCCGATAGGTCTCGCAGAGGACGGCCACGGGGAGGCGCGAGGAAAAACGAGCGCCGAGAAACTAACCGCCTCATCGAAGGCCGTTGCATCGAATGGATCGCCCGTCCGCAGGAGAAATTAACTGGACCGAGTGGTCATCGCTGTTTAAAGGCCGCCGCCAGCTTTTGCAATGGCGTCGGCCCTTCGCTCAAAAAGTCCCCAGTGCCAAACGAAAGACAATAAAAAAATAAAAAGAGCTAAATTGCGCTCTACAGTTGCGTTATGCATCGCAACAAGTGAGCGTACTCTGCTACCGCGGAAATCCCCTCGCTAAAATAAACACCGCCATTGCTCATTCGATGAAACGGAGGAGATTAAATCGACGAGACGCCGTTCGCCGAGGTACAAGCGTGCACCCACACAACTCGGAAGCCTCCGGGGTATATCTACCCGTAACTGGTATTCTCCGTCCTGCCCAACGGGCCAAAGTCACTCCCTCCCCGCCAGGCCAACGAGCCAGCACAATTCGATGGCGTCGTGAAACGTCCCCAAACCCTGGGGGAGCGGGCACGCGATCGCGGAGGAGGCAGCTGCGAGTTCACGGCACACTAGACAGCGCCGATGCACTCGGCTGCGCAACACACCCACAAAAGCGGTCCGAGGGGCCCAAAATAGCCGCCCTCCCCTCGGCAGACCGACGCGAAGCAAAAGACCGCTGCTGCGAAGACGAGCCACACTCGTTTGCACGGCGACAGAGCGTTGCAAAGCCTCCCGGTGCTCGACTTTTTGCTTTCTTTTTTTTTTCTATTATTATTATTACTGCGGAGTCGCGGAGTTTCAAAGGCTGTCGTAAGTTCTCCTTGGGACTAAAACGATCCGCGACGTTAGTTCCAAGCGACGAGTGCATTCACGTTGTCGGCGACTGGAAACAGCTGGACATTCTCGCTTTCTCAAAGCAGCAGCGGGAGGAAAGACTCAGGAGCGACCAGATCCCGTTTGACCAATCGAAGCTGTCTCGAGTCACCTCCCCAAGAACAGTCGCGTAACTCGCAGTAAGCTTCCTTCGCCAGGGAAGTGAACCGGTCAAACGCCGCGCTTCGGTCTGGCAACGAATAGTGGACGGCCTCCGCCTGACGCAACGACTTTAGGTGACGCAATTCCTGCGACGGGTGGGGAACAATGTGGACGTAGGGTCCCGAAACGGCGCGAGCGTGAGAACGGGCACTGAGTGGACGCACATCAATGAGGTCCAGGAACCGCGCACCTCCCCTGCGTCGAAGGGCAGGCGCCGGGGAGGAAGACGTGGAGCCGTCGCTCCCAACTCCACTAGGAAGCACTTTCGGGATCGAGGTTGCTGATAAGAGACCGCCGGATAACGCGCGTCGCGATAACCGCGGCTGCAACTCTGCCGCCGGCTGGCTTTTCGCCGGCTGTTCCATCGGCCGCCTACGATGAGATAATCACGAGGAAAGAAGAGGGCAGCACCACTATCCCGAGGGAGAAAAAAAAACTAACGATGTGAAGCGACCGATATCGGTTCGCACAAACGGAACAGTTCAGCCAAATTGGCGCAACAATTCATTTGCTACCCACATTTCCTTATCGACCTGGTCTGTCCCCTCCTTCCCGGAACACGATATACGGACGAAGCACAACCGAGATGAAGGCACCGAAGGGCACTTGCGGACTCCCTCCCGACCGAATCGTAAAAATCTTTCGCAACACCCGCGGAACCCATGCGCGAACCTCGAGTGAGACGCAAGGGCAGAGCCAGCCTGAGCTCTGGGTCAAGACAGGGACCGACACAGAGCTCAGACTGGAACCCGTACGGAAAGCTCTTCCTACCTTTGGTGTCTTCCGGGACCGCCGGTTCGGGGGCTGGTTCCGCCTTGACGCGACAGCGCCGCGGACTGCTGCTCGCAGACGATGGCGAAGCTGAACAGGGCGTCTGGTTGGCGGCTTGGCCGACGTGGCGAACTCGAGTGTAGTGGCTCTGCGGCCGGAACAAACGAGAGATCGCTGTGAACACTCGATACCGCTAGGAGGGCAAACGATGCTGTTCACACACGCTAACTGGAGCCGCAAGCTGCCACGATTTGCACGCTACTTCCCGGCTCCGCAACACCCGCTTTGCCAACGAGGCTAGCTGCCTCTGACGGATAACTTGGTAGAGGCGACCACCACGACCGTCCAAACGTAGTTTCTTTCCCCTCTGCGGATATCATGCGCTCCCACCCCTTCGAAGCGGCTCGCTACGCAGGTCCCGGCGCTTCCACCGGAAAATGAGCGCAACACACCGCCAGTCAACCCGGCACAGCAACGTGGAGCGCCTGCTTTCCAAAAGGGACAGTCGGGGCGGATGTCGCGCACGTGCTCTCGTACCACAGCTTGCGCACGGCCTAAAAATACCCAAAGGCAACGTTTTGGTGCTACTGCTCAGCAACCACCGATGGATTCACCTCGGGGTAATTTTGTCACAAAGATAATTAAGACAAAAAAGTGCCTGCAACTTGGTCGACATACCCGAAAAGGAAGCAAAAGAAAAAAAGAGAATGTCGAATACCAACCAGCTCGCCTGCCTAGTAACGTTGTCTGCAACGTGGTGCTACACTTCCCAATTTTAATGCGATTTTTTATTTTTCTTACGAGCTTGAAGTCGTCATGGAACCCGTCATTCATGAGCACATTCAAAAACAGAGGCGCTACCAACATTTCCGATTCCGCGTTGCCCATAAGGTAATTTCTCTCTGCATTTATCTCCAAGATCTTGTTTCCATGTATTTCCACACTGAAATGAGAGGACCAAGTTTCCAATATTCCACAAGCGCGGTGACAAGGAACAATACCTCTGGTTTGACCATTTTGTTTTCCTCGTTTATCTTTTTTAGGCGGAGGGAGCGGCACGTATCGTATTTTCGCCTCGGATTTCTTTCATTTCATGGGGAAGATGTGTCCTTTTCTGTTGAAGCGCCGGCGTTCTGAAGGCACAAAAAACGGTCCAAATACCGACAGAAACTCCCGAAAACCCAAAAACTAAAAATCGCTTTGCCTTGCGTTGTTGTTTTGTTTGTCCCCCCCCCCCCCCTTTTTTTTTGGGGGGGGGGGGGGGGGGGGGGGGGAGAGTACAAAAAGTAATTTGACCGAGATATTCATATACTTAACCGAAAACATAGTTATAAATTTTCAACAGGCATCAGCTAATTAGGATGTTTATTTTGCTATTTTAATCACGAGATTCCCCTTGGGTATTAATTTGTACATTGTTTTGCGGAGTTATAAGGCAAAATCGCGGTAATATACTGAGGTATCCAGAGAGGTCAAGACCGAAGTGGAAGCTCTTCCCACCTCTTTCCACTTTAGTAAAACGAACACTGAAGAGAAGGCCTCTCCACCGTTCCCTCCGCTAAAGTGGAAAGGGGTGGGAGGAGCTTCCACTTCGGTCTTGACCTGTCACCGACTATAGTTCGTAATTATTTCTAGTACACGTCAGTTGGAAGCAATCAATGACAGGGTTCGGAAAGCCAAAGTATTACTTATACAGCGAGCATTGTGATTCCTTTATTGTTTTGTTGGTGAATTTTTGGTTAAATACAACCGTATAATTCGAGTGCAATACCTCGTAAATACGTTTTTCTTTATTTTTATTTTAGCTAAATAATTTCCGCAATGATGTTTCATCGTTAAAACGCCAAAAATATACTATTGATGTGGGATTTCATGATATACAGCGAATCTTGACAAACAAGACCCTGATCATCCCTCATTATCGTGTTCGTCGCTTGCATTGTCTCGGCTTCGACAAGTTTGCTCGACTATCACTTTAACATCGACTTGGCCTTTTTTTTTTATTGCAGCTACATGGTGACGAATCTGACTACTCTAACCTACAACATTCCTATGCTGTGCCCATGCGCTTTGTTTACTATGATTCATTTATCTGCTCCAACTCTTGGAGGAGGCACAGCTAACCCCCCCCCCCCCCCCCCCCCCACACACACACACACAAATCTACAACCAAAATAAAGAACAAAATGGTCAAACAGACGTAGCTCACACCCTTCTCTTTAACTCGTGTTATCTACAGCGGAAAGGGGGAACGAGATAATAATCACCACACGCAGAAACGTTCGCCCTGAGAATTTGCTAGGCTTGTGCGCTCTTCGATTTTTTTTTTTTTTTATGTTTCGGCGACATAGGCCATATAAAGAGAAAACAACCGACGTTCTCAATGATCGCTCGATTAATTTTGTTGAGGTAACGTTTGAAAAATGCCAATCCAGCTTTGCGGCTTCGGGTGGCGCAACTTGGTTTTTTATTTGCTATTTTTAAGCTATATATTGTAACATTATCTTGTGAATGTGTAGGGGGCACGGACCTAGTCAAGCTATATATTTGGCTTTTCTAAAGTCCTCCGGAGACCGTGTAATTTGTGTGATGAAAGTGGATTTTACTTGGAAACATCGCTTCGCGGGAATGAAGATACGTTCCGATGTGCTACTCCTTATCAAGCAGATTCATGACACACTTTTGCTTCTCCATTGACGTTCAACCAAATACCATAAATCACAGATGTAAGAGTCGAAATCTACACCCAGAAAACTTCAAACCCGCTTCAGTTTTTTTTTTTTTTTTTTTTTTCCTAGTTCGAAGAAATGGAGGGATGTCAGACTGGGCTCTCGTTTCTACGCCGCGGGTCCAAAAATTACACAAAAATCAATATGCTTCATTTGTTTTTGTAATGAAAAGAAGGCAAAAAGCAAATTGTTGTGTATGTTTATACAGCCGGAAGTTAGTCTGCCGCAGCGGGCGTCTGGTGTCTCAGCTGTAGATGAGCAATGTAGGCAGTGCGGTACAACCGCTAACCTGGGGTCTTTAACGTGCACCACGCAGTAGTGATTACACGACCGCACGCCGGTACGATGCTCATTCAGATCGAAACGGACAGGGATTGAACCCAGGATCCCTAGGTTCTGCAGCGCGAGCTTTCGCTCCGCGTGCTCCGAGCTGGTGTGCGCTAACCACTCGGTCACCGATCCCCCTTGAGAAGAAGGAGTTTGTGCAAAGGGCGGGGGTCGGTGGGGCAAAAAGGGCAGCACCGCAGTGCCGCTTGATATTGCAAAAATTATATATATCTAAAAACAAAAAACGTATATATATATATACACAAACATGTATATCCCTGAACTGGAAACACCTGCATTATCCTGTCGAGGGAGAGCGGGCGTCGGCGCCGCCCTCCTTCTGCAGGATAACAGAACCGAGCAGCGAGGCTCCCAAAACAGCGAAGGTGGCCGACCCCCCCACCCCAAGCCGTTGCGCAAGAGCCCCCAAACGCGTCCCAGCGCCCAGGAGACGGCGCGAGGTAAACAGCGTCGGCGCGCAAACAACGGCCGCCCAATCCACCTCGGAGGCAAGAGTCGGCCGAGAAAGCTCGTTACGAAAGAGGATCCAAGATGGACGCGCAGGGCGGCCATTACTGCGTCGTGGACGAGTGAAGCCGCCAAGAGAAGCGAACGTGACCCCGTTTCTGGAAAAGCGAGCTGCGCCGAATATGGAGTGTGGGAGCCGCGCAGAAACCTGTTTGGCGCGCCGGGGACGATCCTTTGTTCCCCGGGCAACACCCCCGTCGACCGGGGAAGCCGAGGGACGACGCGCTGGCGCCCGCCACGCTCGACGGGAGGAGAGCGCCGGCACACTGCTGCGCCGCTGCATCGAGGGAGACCCGAACGTGATCACCGTGCCAACACCAAGGAGAAAACAGGCCCGCTCAGAAGGCGACAAGCCATACCGTCGCGCTGCCCATCCCCTCGTGCAATCATGAATGTGGACTGCGAAGGTCAACAACAGAGCGCATCCAAGCTTTCGCGCGTAGGGGGATCAAATTACGAATCACACTATGACAAATCCGGGGCTACAGTGCATAAAGGAAAAACATACGTTTGTCCTAAATGGTGCCCGATTCTCGCTTATGACCTCCCTCGCCAAGTCTGCAAGTCCCTCTAGAAGCCGTACGAGAGAAGCGCCGACTGTGACCATTAAAGACTCCACACTTCATTTTGCTCACGCGCAATCACGACGCAAGGCGCACGCGCGCGTAGCTTCAACGACCGTTCGGAACAGCGGCTTTGTCCCCAAACCAGAGAATGGAATAAGCATCGCTCGCTCTCGCTGCCAATATATGGTGGCTTCGAAAGGTACCTCCGCTGCGCGAGCGCTTCGAGGCACCTTCGAGCGAGGTCGTCGCCCTAGCGTCATCGCTGCGCTGTCAGCCTAGAGGTGTACCGGGGACAAAATCGTGCGCGTCGCACTGCCCAACAAGGATCCCTCGCGTACGGGCTCCCCGTCGTGGGAGCCCAGCCGCCCCAGAACGGAGTCTGCGCCCGGTGCCTACAAGTGGGAAGCCGGACAGTCGCGAGAAGTCAAGGGGGGAGCGGGCGCAGAACCAGTTCTGAGACAACCAGTTCTGGCGTCTTCCGCCTGTCGGGAAGTCAACGACCCGCTGCCGTCCGCCGCGGAGAGGACCTCCAAAGCGGCCCCGGAGGCGAGCCAACGGCGCCAAGCTGCAGCCACCAGCTTGGCGCGGAGAAAGCTTCCCACGGGACGCGACCAACAGCCGCACCGACATTTTCTCCGCTCCACAATGGGCTACCGCAACCTCAAAAAGAACTCGGGCGACAATCGAACCAGACACGGCCGCTGAGCGGCGCGAGAGCGGCCCTGGGGACCGTCCAAACCGGCCCCCCAGGGGCGTCATTCACGAATGCGACGCGTGGCTGAGCGGGCCAGAGCAAAAATAGTCAGTCGGAGACGCCTTGGCCGGCTCCCAAGGCGACCGAGACGTCAAGGCCGTGAGCTAGGCGAGAACCGAACAAACAAGCAGGGTCACCAACCCCGGGTCGTCCGATGGACAATCGAATGACCGCAGTCAGGAGGTTCCCAACTAGGGGTCCTCCAACAAATGCTAACACAAATCGGAAAAAAAAAAAAAAGAGATGGACATTTCTTTTTTTTCTTTTTGGCAGAACGCGCCGTTGGAGAGAAGATCGAAAATAGTCCACGGCCCTGCCGACGCGAGCCAGCGCCGCTGCCCACGTTAACCGTCCCGCGCAGCGAATGCTAAGCAAGCGCTTGCAAAAGAGCGTCCTGCGAAGCCACTTTGGAAACACTCCCACTTCCCATCCCGCCAACTGGAGCCAAACAAAGGCGCGCGCCGGACCCGGCGCCAAGGGCAAACCAAGGTCAACGAAGCGCCAACCGCCTCCGCTCGGTCCGCACGCTGCCCGGGCCTCCGGATGCGGTCCAGACAGCACCGAGGAGCCCTCCGGGTTCCGGCGGAACCCCAGGCCCGTGGGCCAGAGCGCCCAGTCCCAACTAGCGTCGAGCGCCCGCGTACTGTCGGAATGAGTTGACCCAGCTGCAACCGTCCCGAACACGAGCCATCGCGCGTAACAACGGGAGACTCCACAGCTCGAAAGAAGCTCAATGATGCCCCGTATCAATTCGCACCAATCGAGGAAACGGAGTCGGATATCTCCGCCTGGCAGGCCGCCCCGCACAACGCGGCTAGTACCAGCACAAAGACACAAACGTTGGGATAGCTGGCGTGCCCCGCGGTCAGTGACCTCGAACAAACACGTCATCCGTGTTTTCCATCGGCGCTGCGAAACGGTCGCGAACACAGACGCCATTCCAACCGGCATCCCCACTGTATATCACGCAAGACGGCACACCGCCAGCAGCAGACGCTGATTTGGACCGGCTCGGAGATCGTGAGCTGACAAGGGCACCGAGACTCTGGCCCGCACACAATCCAGGAGGCGATGAGCTCCTCGGTCGCGAAAACACGTCAGCGGCAGGCGCCTCAAGGCCGCCTCCGCGGCGCGCGTTTGCCTGTCCCCTTTGGGAACCCTTCGCAGCTCACTCTGTCGCCGGGCGGATTTCCGCGATCCGGATTACCCTACAACACGCAAGCAAATTGGGCTGCACTCTGACAGTGGTTGGCAGCCATAAATCTGATGCCGACGGAAAGCGCAGACCCTTAAACAGAACACTGTGCAGAGAATGGACAGACTGATTCTCAAAGGGTAAACCAAAAGTAGCGGTGTCGATGGAGGTGATAATCAACCTCACCTGCGTCGCACGTTGCCCAAACCGCGAAATCACTGACTTAAGCTGTTAGCTACTTCGGGGCTGTTACACGAGTCTACAAGTAGACACAATAGACATTGTGTCTCACTAAGCGCTCCACGCATGCGTGACGCCGCAATAACTGTAATTCACAGGAGGTAGGCGCCCGTGCAGGAGACAGGTCGTGCTCTGCTCGCGCAGACCTCCACTGGGTTGTAGCGCGTGCAGAAAGACTACAAGTCCCACGACGCACGTGGACGGCGGTGGCGTACTCAAAACTAGCTGGTGAGATCGGTCTGTTGGCAAGCAGATGGGCGCGTTCGTTTGAAACGGAGGGACAGCATTCAAAGAAAATAAAAATACATCACCAGTGGCCACGAATTAAACGGTGATACATAGAAGATCGACAGGGGCGAAATTCGAAGGACTACCTAGTTTGCTGGAGCGTGGCAGGTCGATAAGCCTGCCACGCGCCAGTAAACGTCGAGGTGTCTGCTGTCTCGAGGGTCCCTCGAGGCAGCTGACAATGGAGCACTGTACAGGGGCTCAGCGCACAACAACAAAGAAAGGCTCTGCAGAGCTCACCCTCAAAGCTAGCAAGCCGGCCCGAAGGCCCTCACAAGTCGGAAGTTTTGGAAGAAACCAAACTGCCACATTATCTGCTTTCGTAACCTAGCTCGCATAGTTACGTCAACTATCAAAGCGTGGCACTTCACTTGCCGCGCTCCCACACACGCCTTGAACAAGAGATGTGTTTCCCGTAAAACTGGCTGTCCTATTCTTGGAGACTATCGAGAACCCCGCTGTGCTGCGTCCTCGGCTCAACTCAATAACACACGCGATTGCACGAAAAAAAAAAAAAAGCACACGTCGTACGAGGCAAAGGAATTGACATTACACCAGTACACTCGCCAAGGAAATAGGGCGCCATTTGAAGCCGCGACCAAGGTCGCAGTTCGACGCTGTATCCCGGCTCGCGAGCAAAAAGAGGAAAGGAGGAGAGGCGGAAAAACGAGTAGATAAAAAAAAAAAGCAAGCAAGCACAAGCTGTGGTGCAATACCTAGCCCTCGGGGCACTCGCGGCGCTACTAAGTTTTCCTGTCGCAATTATCGCTTATTTGATACACTTCTCCGAAGCCCCACGTAAGCTCGCGACAAAGATCAATGGAAGGAAAAAAACACTCACGAAAAAAAAACAAAAAAAAAACGGAAATGGCGACCTCGTTTTCAGATTGTAACACACGTCCCTTTCGGTAGAAAAGGCAACGTATCCACAGTGTAGTCAAGTGGCACAAAAGTAAAAAGGCCGCGAAAAAACAAAAAATAATCTTGCATTAGAAGAAACGAACACTGTTGCGCCCAAGCTGGAAAACGAAGCGGCCGGCCGACACAATAAACAAAACAAAAACACACAAAAAAGCGTAACAAAGACGCACCACACACCAAAACATCATCGGATGAAAAGCACCGGGCGCACAGCCAAAACTGCAGGTGTAGGACCACGCATTACATAAAGCTGGGCCCCTAGAAACAAGGCAGGCGTTCCTCGTGTTCCACACAAAGAACGCGTTCGGCGTCGCACGACGCCGCGCCCCGCACCACCGCTCCGAGCACAATCCAGCGTCACTCGCGATCCTACGCTCACATCGTAGCCGATCGACCACCAAAAACAGCACGAGGGTCCAGACCAAGCACCACCACACCTAATTAGAGGCTACAACTCAAAATGACGCACTAGCAGCTCCAGAGAGGCACGGCAGGGGGAGAAGACACAGAGAGAAACGAGCGCGATCGAGCACCGGGGTTTTCCCTGGTTCGGGCAGCGATCACAGAGGGCCCGGGTCTTGGGGGCTCGGGGTGTGAGCCCCGGCCGGCCAGGGTCCAAAGACACATTTCACTTACTGCTTTTAGCGGGCCGGCGGCGTTGAGCGTGCACGTTCTGCGGCGAGGCGTAATCCCGACGTTCTCTCCCTTCAGAATGGACTCGACTACTGCAAAGAAGAACAGAGCGACGGTCATGCGCCGACTGCGCACGCGCGAGGGGCTGCCTGATCAAAGGCAGCAGCAGCGGGAAGCGGCCCACGTGACGCGGCCGCGCACTCGCTCTCTCCCCCAGAGCTGCCTGCCGTCGCGCAGCGTTGCCACATTTCCCTCGCCACCTCGAAACTCCCTAGATGTCCCTAGGGGCCGCTAATTCACGCGTAAAATAACATTTCGGGCGCACACTGCTTCCATCTTTACACGCAGTTGGTCTCTTTATGCCCTCGGCGACCTTAGCAAAAATAATATTCGATATAATATAAAATAGGGCCGTTAATAACATCGTTAGGAGTCCAGCAAAAACCCAATCTTCCTACGTCTTGTTTTACAGAAGGCGGAGTTGGCCCTTTACGACAGAGAGAGCTGCATGACAAGTATTCCAAAGAGAGAGTCTCATACTTGTAAATATATCAGCTTGAACTTTAGAATTGAACTTGAACGCGAAGACAGTTTTTTCCACGCGCTTCCAGAATCACGTGCTTAGTCCCCCTGATACAAATAAACCAACCAACCCAGATCAATTATTGCGAGATTACGTGTGCTCCAATTTCTCAGAGACGACTGCTACCTAACCTCCAACCTTTTCCGTCCAGCCCACGTCCGCGGTGTTGTGATTTATCGCACTTTGCGTCTTCGTATCAAATAATCTAGCCTTCCCGTTGACGCAGCTAAACCACCTCCTGTTTTGTGCCTTCCCCAACGATACGCGCCATTTGCGTCACCTCCAATTGATGCATCAATTGGACTCGCACAAGATCTGTCGCAACTCCATACCCACTGTTTCCTTTAGCTTGTCGTTCCGCGAGCGTAAACAATACGCAAAAAAAAAAATGCACAAAGAAAAAGAAAAAAGGCTCAGAGAAAACGAAAATGTAAAAAACAAAACCTGAACCCCCCCCCCCCCCCCCCCCCCCCGAAAAAAAAAAAAAAATCTTTTCGGGGTTTTTGTTGAACCATATATCGTAGAGCTGAATTTCGACAAAAATTAATATGCAGTTTCAGGGGCGAAAAACTGTTTTCGCTTGTTTCAAGAGAACGCAGAATTGCGCTAGATTCCAGGAACATTTCCTAGAGATGGAAATGCCGCCAAGGCCGTCAAGCCGAGAGGAGCTTAGAGACATGGCTGAGATAATCCAAATAGACGTGCGTGTTTATTACGCAGAAATATGTGGAGCGGTTTGTACATTTCAGGATGACGCCGTCCCATGAATATCGCGAACCCTCGCAGCAAGCTGGCGTTGCAAACGAAGATGCATTTCAGTAAACACCGCCATCCCAATCAAATTTGAAAGCGTGACTGTCTCTTTTGACTCAGCCTCTCAACGGAGCTTAGAGCAGCAGTCGGGCGTTCGGAACGAAAGAGATTCAGAATACAGCTTCGCGAGGAATGGCATTTTGCTGGCCATATTCGACCCGCACGCGACGAGCAAGTCACACATTTGCTTTGGACGCCAGGCTCGAAGGCATAAACTGAACAAACGAAGACCGCATATATGTTCTGCCCATACGCGTGTACCCGGGGAATCAGTTCTTTCGCGCTTCGCAAAATAATAGGGTAAAATGCCCGGATAAAAAAGACAGGCGAAACTAGCTTCGCCCGCTCGACAAGACGATGATCGGCCTTGCCGTCACGGCGTCAAGCAGACGTATCGCGGAGCAAGTGCGACCTTGCGTGTCCGAGGCGTTGGACATTCCCGATCTATCTGGAAACCAAGGACTACGAGATTGCAAGCCCATCCAACCCGCGTCGGCAGCGCATCGCATGATTAACTAACCGCCCACACCCCCAGGCTTCAGTGCGAAGAGAGCCCCGCAAACCCGCCGATGTCTTCGGGGTTGCGGGGCTCTCTTCGCAGTGAAGAGAGCCCCGCAATGGCACGACGTAATTTATGTTTGGGACAGGCTACGTTACAACGGCTCGCACGTCCTAGAGCTCGGCGTGTTTCTGGTTGCCGTGGATGAGTGAGCGGCAGTGCTGCTCAATTGAGAGGCGGCTCACCGCGCGGCCTTGGGATTCCAACGGCTCTCTCCGCTATCTCAGAGCGCTCATTTGAAATCAGCTCGACCTGCCAGATGACGAGACAAGAAGAAACTGGTCACGCGTTGGTACGTTTCACTCCCGATAGCGTGCCATTTAAACGCAATTTTATTTTTGTTCGCGCTTGTAATCGTCATCATGCCGGTTCGTACGCGGATAAATGAGCAGTCAAGCGAGGCGAAAGGAGCGGAAAATAAAAGACGCCCCGCGAACCGCAATCTCCACGCAGGCCAAAAGTCTCCAATGTAGCTCGGTTGAGATCCCAGAGCCTCGCAAAGCGCCTTCCGGGCCTTCGGGGCTCGACCGACGCGTTCGCCCATCACTGCCAGAGCGGCGGCGATCGATAAAATCCTCGTGCCCGAGCTGCTCGGGCTGGGACCGGAAATGCGGATGTGACGCTCCTCTTCCCCCCCACGGCATCGTGACTGAGCCGCAGAACAGCGTTTACACTCGGACAAAGCGCTTTGCAGAGCGTAGAAAGGCTCCAATAGGATGTTGGAACTGCACCCCTACCAGTCGGTGGCTTAGCGCGCAATACGCTTTCCCAAAGTCTGGAGGTAGAGCAACAAGGTCACCTTACAGCTACGTCCTCGAACTCACAAAAGACAATAACAACAAAGGAAGCGAGATTCAAAAGTCACACATCTGTCACAGCTACGCGCCTTCGGTCACCAGATTTTCCATGTTTCCCCAGAAAACTGTTGTTGTCTGAAGATCAGTGGGTCTGGCAGGCACTATACGGCCAAGGTTGATACATCCGCTTGCCACACGCCACAGTTATTTAGAAGGGACTGCCAGGTAGGAACCTCATCTAAGCTTGATTAGGTTGCTCTCGCATCGGTTCGAACAAGCCCCAGATAGGAGTCGCACGTAAACACAAGCTACCAGCTCTCGATCCGGGCGTATGGGAGCGCCTATCAGTTATCCGGCGACGGCGTGTTAGCGCCGTAAAACAACGTGAGTGTAGTATGTCGTTGACGTGGCGCAGCGCTGAGCGGAAGTTTCGACATCCTGTTCCTAGCGAGAGAAGGTTGGTAGATGCGTGGCTTCTGAGCGAGTCTCATGGCGCAAATAGGACACGATTCCCTGTTCCACAGCCCGAAAGTTCGCCACGTTTTAAATGCTAGCTTTAATTCGGCCGGCACAGCTGCCCAGAAGTCGTTCTCTACGCTCACTTCCGAGCCCATTCGCAAGATCATGCCTCTCTCCCCCCCCCCCCCCCCCCCCCCAAACATTCGGCAAACACAAAACTGGGATCGCGTACCGCATGGCAATTTAAAACGAAAGTGTTATCTCGCGTAGATGTTTCGACGACGCTTCCAAGAACGCGAGTGAAGGAGAGCCGTTCGAAAGGACCATCCGCCGATTATAAGAAATGCGGGCGGGTTGTTTTTCTCGGCTGGTCCCAGTTGACGGCTGCCGTCGGGCGCACGGCCCACGCAGACAGACGACCGGTCGCGTGGGCTTCAGGGAAGAGGCGCCGACCGATCAACGTCCCCGTACAAGGGGCGGCAACCGACCCCTGCTCGAGAAACGCGAGGTCAACCCGCCGCACGCAAGAGCGAGCGACGAGCCCGGGCAGTCCCGGTCATTTCGCGTTAGCGGACGAAGCTGAGCAAACATCGACCCAAGCATTTCCGAATGCGGAAACACCGGATCCGCCCAAACGTGTCTCCGCATACAAAAGAGAGCGAGCCGGGCTGCGCCTGCCGAGGCTGCTCGACCACCCCTCATGTTGTCGCGACGCGCACACGACCGACCCCCAAACGTTTCGTGGCTTCGGGAGCGACGCGTTTCGCCGGAGTCGCCGCCTGCTTTTACCCCCTTCCGATGGACCCACCGACCGATGAGCCGGAAGGGTGACACGATTAGGGAGAACTGCGAAGACGACGCCGACTGAACAAGCATCGGAAGAGACCTGGCCAACCTCCGAAACTCTCCATTACAGCGCCTTCGGCGTAGTCGGCCGCCGCGGAGGTCTGGAGACTCTGGACGGCCCGGAGCGAGAAAAAAAACCCAGAGAGAAAAAAAAAACAAAAAAAGAAAACCTGCTCACTATGGAACGGCGACGAGTGGAGGACGCGCGGAGAGGGGGAAAGCCGCGACGACGCCGGTTAGCCCTCTCGCAGTACCTTATCTGCAGATTGATCTCGGCGAGGCTTTTGTTTTGCTCCCAAGCCGCGCTTGGAGCGTTCCCCTCCCTTTGCCTTTCACGTCGTTATTGACTCGCTTTTCCTCCCCGAGCTGAGGAGGAGGGGAGGCGGTTCGACGCTCAAAATAACTGCAGACGCCCGCTCCCCCTCCGCTTCTCTGGAATGCGTTCGGCGAAAAGCAAAAAGGGAAGAAAGCGCCGGAGGGGGTACGCGGAGGGGGGGGCAACTCCCCGCTTTCCCACTCACCAAACAAAGAGCGAAATCGCCCCAACGTGTGTATCCACGAGAGCGTAGGGAAGGCACAAACAAAAAGACAAACACGAAGGAAGGAAAAGAGAGTCTCGAAACGGGGGCTCATCTTCTGTGGCTTGACGATGTTATATTTAGAGAGGCCGCGAACTTCTCTCGAACCTGAGGTTCGCAGATCGCGTCAAGGGGTCCGAAAGGTTGTACGTCTTTCTAACTTTCCAAATTGTTAAGCTAGCGAATTGTACCATTTTCCAACTTTCGAATTTTTCGCGCTAAGAAATTCGAAAATCGTCAAGCTTCCCAACTTGCCAAGTTCGACCAAGTTGGAGCCAACTTTACCCCATAGGCAACAAAAATAAATAGCGCAAATGTATGCGTGGATATATTGCATCGAAATTCAAGGAAGTGCCACCAACTATACTCGCTTTGGCCTCGTGCCCCGTACCCGAGATGTTTTTCCCCCGCTGCTCGGAGCCTCCTCCGGAAGTTGCCCCGATGTGAGGTGCGGGCC